ACAGGGGCTGGCCTTTCAGACCTGAGAAGGGTTTTGTCCTTCCTCTGCTCTTGGAATCGGTCTTCACCTTGGGCTTGTCGATCTGACCACTACGTATAAAAGTAACTCGAAGGTGAATAACTCTTTGTTGTTGTTCCTTAGAATCGACTCCCCAGACTGTGGCCCCTGAGGGTGCATTAGGTACAGAACTCGATGGAGCTGAAGATTTGGAAACCATTAACCTGGAGACAGAGGAGAAGCTCTTCATCGATGTACGTACATAGTTGCATTTGGAGAAAAGTGTCTGCTTTATAGTTAGTATCAGGTCAGACACAAACCTTCAGAATCCTTGCTCCCCAACGTGTGGTCCCTGGACCAGCAGGCTTGGCATCCCCTGGGAGTGGGTCAGAATGCAGGATGCCTGGCCCCACTGTAACAAGACCTCCCCTAGATGGTTCATACCTGTGCACATTCACGTTTGAGAAGTGATGGCCCAAATGGTTCCCTTGAACTACGTCTACAAAACTTGATTTGTTTCTCCAAAGAAGTTACACTGCAGAGCGATTCTGTCTAGCTAGGCTTACACAAAATGGTTAAGTCACATTTTATCATCAGAGCCTCTCTTCCTCCTTGGACAGCCGCCCAGCAGGCAGCTACTGCCATCTTCCCGGCCTGCCGCTGCTCCGGCTTGCTGTCTGACCTTGTGTTTGATCATGGCCTTGAGAAGGCCCCTCATCCCTGATGCTTTTCCCGTTTTGATAACAATCTAAACTGCCCTGGCCCACAGGCATGAGGACCATGGATTCAGACACTTTGTCATGACCCCCAGGAACTGTACTGTGGTGGGTGAGTAGTGGGGAGGCGTTCCTTGCACCTTTAGCTCACCCCAGTGGGCAGCCGGTGCTTGCTCTGCTCACCCAAAGGACGCCTACTACTCTACCCGTGAGTGAGCGCCTGCAGTTTAAACCCGTGTTCGCGACGTTGCCTGCCGCCTGCCCGCTTCCTTGTTACACTGCTAAGCTGGTGTCTCATTTCTAACTTTACAATTGCATGTGGCTCAGTAAGAGTTAAACAAATCCTGGTCAATTTTCAGAGTGGGTTTCTAGTTTTCTGGGCCTGTGTAAACTAAGAAACAAAACTGGGCAATTAATCTCTAATGTTTGAGAACTGACTTATACAGGACAACTAATAGCTAACACTTACTGTTCTCACTCTTTGCCTGGCATTGTTCTAAACACATCTTGTATTGATTGATTTAACCTTTCAGTAACTCTAAGAGGTAGGTACTATTATCATCCCCATTTTACAGATGAGGAAATTGAGAAACAGAGAAGTTAAGCAACTTTCCCAAGGCCACACAGCTGGGCAAGAGTGGAGCAGGAATACCACCCCAGGTAGCCTGGCCCCAGAGTTCATGCATCTAAGCACACACACTGTGCTGCCCGCCGCCCATGCTGGACCAGTTGCTACAGATGAAGATCCCAAATCACAGTACAAAACAGAAAAGCCCTCCCAGTTTGGGGGAGGTCCAAAACATATTCATTTTATACCACACAGAGTTCTAAGACTAAGTTGTACACAGGAGGTGCACTTGGTTTAGGCCCCGTCATTTCCCCCCAGATGAACTGGCTGTGTCTCTAGTGACAAAGTAGAGTGGAGAAAGACGTGGAATCCCTCAAACATGTCACACCTTGCACATCTCTTTCATTGGTCAGATCTAGATCCTCAAAGTGGCAGCGTGTGTTCTGAGTGTGCGCGGGGCTGCTTGAGTGATCTGGGTCACTCCTCACCTCTCCTGCACACTTCGCTGGCACATAACTCGGGCTTAACTGACAGTGTGGATGCATTTGTCTCGCTGTCCGATGTTCAGGGTGTGTCCGCCGTCCTGGTGACGTGGGTTCCTTTGCTCTTTCAGGACCTGCCTGACTTGGAAGACGTTGACACGGGCGAATCTCTGGAGGACCGGGACAAGGTTGTCTCACGCGTCTCCCAGGCAGCCTAATTCCACCCTCGCTCCCGGTCTTGCCCCTGACCAAGTGCATCTCCTTCACTCGGAAGTGGAATGCTCTTTGTGACTAACGCACTCCCACCTCCCCCCTCCCCCCCGCCCCCCGTGCCTTCACCCGACCAAAGGAGATGCAGCTGTTGGCTGTTGCTCACCTCTTTTAAGATTAACCACATGCGGTTTCTTGGACAGATATTTTATCACTGATTTTTTTAATAACTATGTACTGTACATAATTACCTGACAACACTTCTCTGTCCTTGTTATGTATTTAAATGTTCATCTCATGAATGTCTGTACCATAGCAACACAGGGAAGGAAAGGAGAAGGGGGAGGGAGGAAGGAGGGAGACTGTATGATGAGGGAGTTCTCCCAAACTGACCTGACCCTCCTCCTCCAGCCTGACCGAGGGCCCATGTGTGCCAGCCCCGTGCCCTGAGGGAGGGGGACGCAGGGCCCATGTGTGCCAGCCCCGTGCCCTGAGGGAGGGGGACGCGTAAGACCTAATCTCTGTGCGGGACTCATCATCGAAGGAAGGAAAGCCATGCAAGAGAGACCATAGTTCCCGTGGAGGCCTGACCTCCAAGGGGCCGAGTCCAGGTGGCCAGGTTAGGTGTATGCCAGCCAGAGGCCAGGGCTCAGAGATGGGCCCATTCAGGGACCCAGAGGATGTTGGTGTAGTGGGAACAGTGTGGGCAGGAGGGGTGCAGCATGCAGACCCAACAGAGGGTGGTAAAGGAGTGCAGACATGGCTACAGAGCTCACCACGACTTTGGGGGCTCAGAAACAGCTGGCCAAGTGGTGTCCATCCTGAGGCCTGACTCTCCCAGGGCAGAATGCTGTGCCCCCTCTGCCTTTATTGTATGTGGCAACAGAATATTCTGGGATAGATAAAATCACAGAATTAGCATTGTGCATTTTAGAGTGACTATTGTGAAAACAGAAACACACCTTTTTTCTTTTAATAGAAGATGTGCTTTCCAAAGATTACAGCCATCTCGAGCTTGAGTGATGACAGTGACTCTGAACTGGATTGCACATCCCTCCCAGTGCTGGAAGATGCATCCACAGACACCCTGTCAAATATATTCACAGTCTCCAAGGACACCTCCAGGAAGACCAAGACGCCCTTTATGGACATATGTAAAGCAGCAGCAGAGAGGGACTTGGGAATGCAAAGTAGAGACCCCAAGTCCCCACGCCCACTGGTCCAGGAGCTCTACGACCTTGAGCCTTCAGGGCCATCACCGATGCCCCCAACCTGCAAAAGGGACGCCACACCACCCCCTTCCAGTGAGGATGGGGACGGTTTCCTACTTTCAGCCTCTCCTCCAGGTAATGCCACCCTACTTTCAAGATCACAGGGACCAAAAGCTTTGACAGTGAGGAAATGAACTGTCCACTCCCCAAACCCAGAGGGGGTGGCCCACTGGGCCTTTCCCCTCAGAATCCCGTGTTCTTGGAGAGGGGCATTCACGACAGCCCACAGAGATGGTTGGGATCACGTTCCCAAGTTGATGCGTCTTCGAAGCTGCCACTTGCTGTTTGCAGGCCTGGCCGCCTCATTCCCGGCGGGCAGTGGGCGTCCCCAGGGCTGCTTATGGCCATGCAGATCTTGGCAATCTTGTTCAGCAGGTCCAGGCGGGGCTAGGGAGCCTGCGTTTCACCCCCTTCCTCACCATCCCCATCCTTAGCCTTTCCAGACCAAGGCTTCTGAGGGAGGGAGGAGACCAGTGACATGGCTGGGAACGTGGGACAAAACGGGGGCAACAGCTGGCCTGAGGGCGTGAGTCCTCCACATGAAGGTCCAGGATCGGGAAGAATGATGTGCGAGACGGTGCTGGCGGGGAAGGGAGGCTCACCAGGCAGGACAGTGTCCAGAGCGCCAGGCTAGGTGGGACAAATGAGGCCACAGACTGACTTATCAGCCTGGCCTGGCACTGGGGGCCCGTGCACATGCCCAGGGAGATGTGTTAGTGCTAAGTGATAACAAGCAAACTGGGGGTAATCTGGGGTTCAGCAGCTGCCTCTGGGAATCCACCTCAGGGAGTCTGCTGACCCGACAACTCCTGTTCTTACCCGACACTAGGCGATAGCCAGGTTTCTTTCTGAAGGCCTGCACACGGGAAGAAATGAAGGGGTGACTAATTTCCCAAGAAAACCGAGTTACCTTCTTTCCTAACTCTCTAGGAAACAGCACTGAAAAGGATGAAGTGCAGTCTGAGATGGAGCCCGAGGGGCTGGTGGAGCCCGGGGCGGGAGAGGACCGGGAGGACATTGAATTCGGCTTGGACTGAACCTCAAGGGGGGCCCTCCACCCTTCGACTAATGGACAGGGAGCCGGCGGCTGGGCCAGGACTGACCCCCCAGCAGGTGCAGGTCACCCCCTTGACTGGGCTCCCCTTCCTTCCAAAGAGCGGCGGTTCCTGAGAGCGCTTGGGCCTCGGCTGTGACGAGTGCCCACGTCGCACGGCTCCCTCTCCCGCCCTGGCAGCCTCTGCCAGCGTGGGCAGCGCTGTGTGCCTGGTTCTCAAAGCATAACCCACTCCCCCCACCATATGTGGTAAATGGTGTTCTGTAATGTCTCGTTTGAACATTATAAACATTTTAGTATCCACGTGAGACAATGTGTTACTGGATTATTTCATTTGTAAGTCACATGTGATTCCTTTCATCCGCTACCCTGAGAAAGAGCGGTTCCTCTCTTCATGTGTGATTAGAACCCTCTCTCAGGCCCTGGGGTCCTGCACAATTCTGAGTGGTGTTCTCACAGGAGAGCAGCATCTTCCACCAGCACTACAGAATGTCGGAGGAAGCAAACTTGATGCATTAGACATCAAAAGTTACATAAGGGGATGCTGCCCGGTCTAAGAAACTTGACCCTTCAAAACCACACTCAGCTGACAAGTTTATTTAGTCCCTGAATGTGGGTCCACAGCGTCTCCCTCTACAAAACATTAGATCACAGTAGACACTGCTTAACACACACAGACCAACCACTAGCAGCTACTGACACCCCCCGAGCGCCGGGACCAGCAGCTCTTCGGTGTCTCGTTACACGTCCCCGGCCACGGCGAGGAGCTAGCACTGTCACCCTGACGTCACTGGGGGACAGAGGCCCGACTAGTGTGCAGTGAGCCCCTGCTTTCGAGCACCACCCTGCAGTTCCCTGCAGGGAACCCACAACACTGGCCTTGAGGACAGGACTGCTAGGGCCTTTGCAACATCCCTTTGGAAGCATCTTCAGGCAAAAGTACAAACAACGAGAGCAACGGCCACACTGTTGTCCCTGGTCCTCTGAATCAGCTCCACGTCGTTTCTGGATGTCCCTCACAGGCACGACGGCCTTCACACAGTAGAAAGATCTGCACCCTGGAGACTTCTCTTTTTATGTCCTATGTTTCAGTCACAGAAGGCACAGCTGGTCCAGGACGAAGGGCTCCCCAGAGGAGGGGGAGCAGCTTCCCTGGGCCCTCAGAAGCCCATGCGGGGTTTCTTTCGGTGCGGCTGAGAGCCAGAGAGGATGGGCGTCTGCTGCCTGGAGGGGGTGGCCCGGAGGCTGGAGGTCTGGGAAGAGGGCACGGAGGCACCTTCCGGGGTGTCCCTTTGGAGTGGCAGCTTGGCAGCACAGTCCCGGAGGGTCCGCTGCCTGGAGGGGGTGGCCCGGAGGCTGGAGGTCTGGGAGGGGGGCACAGAGGCACCTCCTGGGGCATCCTCTCGGAGCGGCAGCTTGGCCATATAGTCCCGGAGGGTCTGCTGCCGCTCGGAGGGGACACCCTGGGCCCAGTGCTCCTGGGTCAGCTCCTGGGAGGGCGGGGTCACCGGGGGCCGAGGCCTGGCCTCAGAGTCTGGGCTGTGAGGAGGGCTGGTGGCGTCCGAGAGCTCCAGGCGGCCGCTGAGCGAGGAGAAGGTGCTGGACAGCTGTGTACGGCGCTTGTGCCGCTTGGGCTGTTTCCTGGGCCCCGAGCTCCTGCCCTGCTGCCTCTCCCACCAGGCAGCTGCCCGGCCTTCCCAGGCTGCCTCCAGGCGCTCACTGAGCTCGTCCTCGGGGCCTGGCTCGGGGGCGGGGGGCGGCTCTGCTGTGGGGAGCGAGCCCAGGTCCCTCTGCTGCAGGAGCCGCCCTTCGGCCATGGCTGCCCGGAGACCCTCTGGCACTTTCCCCTCAACCTTTCTCTGCTCCACACAAGCCAGCAGATGGCGGTGGGAAAAGGTGGGTGCAGCCCACACAGGGGGAGGGGGGGGCACCTCCAGCAAGGCCTTAAGCCACCGGCTGCAGCAGGCAGTGGCCTGGGGGGTCCAGGAAGCTGTGGGGGCACAGGAGTCGGGGCCAGGGTCACCGGGGGGCCCAGGGTCTGCCTGGAGGTGGAGGCACTGGTGGAAGACATCTCCAGCCGCCGAGAGTTGGAAGAGCGACAGAACTGGCTTGGAGGCACAGGGCAGGATGGTGGCAGCCAGACCTGGAGACGGGAATGACAGTGACCCCAAGGCCTGGCAGGGTACAGCTCCCCAGACTCCCTCCCCAACCCCAGCACACCTATGGTTGGCGCTTTCAGACGCTCCTGCAGCCGCCACTGACTCTTGGGCTCCAGCAGGGGGAATGCAGAGAGGGAATCGCTCCTGGAAGGGAGAGACTGGGGGGGCCCTGCCAGCCGGGGTGTGGAGGCCTCCTCTCCTGGAGGAAGCACAGACAGCTGAGGCCCTGTCCAGGCCCCAGCCCTGCCCACCTTCCCGCATCCCTCCCGCCCTTGCCCAGACCCTCACCTGTGATGTGCAGCAGCTGCAGCTGCCCGCCCTGGCCTCCCAGGAGCAGCGGCCGCGGGCAACCGGGGCAGGGTGGAGGCAGCAGCCGGGCCAGAAGGGGAGCAGACGGAAGGCCGTGGTTCCATTTCAGCATCGGCACCAAGGGGAGGCGCTCATCCACCAGGTAGAGCGAGAACTGGGGGCCCGAGGAAGAAGCAAGATGGAGGGGACGTGACTGAGGTGTGGGAGAAGTGTCTGATGAGACAAGTCTCTGGGTGCCCATCTGACGCTCAGGATGACTGCAAACTTCTGAGTGGTCACAGCACTCCATGCCCGGCCCTGACCGCCTCTCTAACTTCACCTCGGCCCACACAGGGGGCGTGTCCCGAGCGGGCACTGCCATCGCTCATCCTGACGCCACCACTGGGAGAAGGGCTCTCAGGAGAGTTGCAGAGGAGTCTCATCACAGAGGCACCACCTGGCTCTCACCCAGCCCTCCCCAAACTCACCTGACCCTGCAACCGACACTTGAGACTCACCTACTAACACCCCAGGGTCCAGAGGGGGCGGGAACCCTCAGACCTCCTCCCCTCTTCCTGAACACACGGGACTGTTCGTCTTTGCACCAACTGCTCCCCCTGCCTGCTGCCTTTCCTCCTGCACCTGCTCCATCTCCAGTGGCACCTTACAGCCCTGGTCAGATGTCACCTGCCAAGAGGCCTTTCCCACCTGCCAGTTAGCATGTTTCAGCCACAGACTCAGCAAGGGCTTTGTGATGCCTGTCTTGCCTGCAGGTGTCCCGGGACCATCTCTAGTAACTGTCTGAGACGTGCAGAGGGAGAGGAGGGGAGACGGCCTCACTCACCTGGGTACAGATGAGATGGAGCGTGGAATGCAGAGACTCGGGGCTGCCCTCTCCCAGGTACTGGGTCAGCAGGACACGTTCCCCTTTCTGGCATGACGCCTCCGCCCCTCCACGAAAAAGCAGCAGACCGCAGCCCGGCGGGCCCTGGGAGAGAAACCCGGGTCAGGCCTCCCAATCTGAGGTAGGGAGCACCGTCCCCGCCAGTTGCAGGGACTTGCTGGCTCCGCTGCTTTTCGTGCCCTTGGGGAGGTCCCCACCCCAGCCCTTCCATTATCTGCTCTGTCCTGCCGCTGTGCCTGTGACGGTCCCTGCCCCTCACCTGAGTGTCGATAATTTTCACTCCAGTGCGGTCACCCACAGTCAGCACCCGAGGGTGGGCAGTGAAGTCTGCCCAGCGCCAGGGAGAGGGGTCCCGGAACACAAGGGTCTCAGGGTCCTTGTAGACTCGCCGCAGCCTTGGGGAGACAGGCCAGCCGTGGGCAAGGAGACGGGCTAATGGGGGTGGGGAGACCAGCTGATGGGGGTGGAGACCATGGCAACCTGGCCCTGGGTCCAGGACATGTTGTATGGGGAGTGTGGGCCGTAGTTCTTGGGGGGCCATTTGTTGGGGTCGAGGGTTTTTACAGGGAAGGGGCATTACCCATCCTGGGGGGTCCACAGACAGATGGCTCCCGAACGGCTGCAGACGGCCAGCTCCCCGGGCAGGTGAGGGCTAAAGGGCACAAGTGTGATTAATGCTGGGCCACACCCTCCCTACGCTCACATCCTTGCAGACCAGCCCGATTCAGCCCCTCACCTGAGGCTGATCCCTGTGGCCCCCTTCTCGACCTGCAGCACCTGGAGAGGGGCCGGCCGCCCCTGCTTACTGACCTTCCACAGGGCACAGTGGTAGTCAGAGCGGACGGCTAGCAGAGCTGAGGGGAGGGGGAGGGAGAAGGTGAGGGAAAGGGTCAGGGTCAGGCAGCGAGCCAGTCAGTGTCAGAGGGAGGTGTCTAAGGGCCTTACATTCTCCCTGCACAGTGCGGGTCACCACTTGCCGGACAGGTCCTCGGAGCCGGATGTGGCCAGGGTCCCCGAGGACCCAGGGGTCACCAGCTGGGGTCAGACCGACCTCTTGGAAATCTGGGCCTCTCGCTAAGGATAAGTGCACGAGCTCTGGTCACCACCAGCCCCCCTGGACCTGCCGAGAGCACCTCCTCCACCAGAGGCAGCCGCTGGGATCCTGCTCAGTGAGAAAGGATACACAGCTTGTCCAGGGTGCCCCCGGCAGGGTAGACCAGCTGCCCCACCCGGGGCGTCCTTCCGGGCACCCAGGCCAACGCGCCCCCAGTGAAAGCATCGTCCAGGAGCAGCTGCTGCCACCGCATCACCAGCTCCTCGTACAGCAGCTCCCCCAGGAGGTTCGCCACTGACTTGCCCAGGATGGGGCCCCCGAGGATGGAGAACCGCCGCTGCCGGTGGCTGAGGCAAGCCCAGGGACACCTGGTGCCGAGAGGAGAGCGAGACGGTCAGGCTGTGGCAGTGATGGGGAGAAGGACCGGTACCATCCCAAGGGAGGCCAGGCCAGTAGACGCATTTTCTATCAATCTAGAATTTCTTCCTTTGGGAAACCACCCCACCCCACTCCTGTGCCGCAGGGGCATCACATGACCCAGACCTGGCCACTCAGAGTGCTCCATTGCTTGGGCCAGTGATTGGCTCATGGATGGGCATGATGCCCAAGCCAAGCCAATCACACCCTTCCCTGGACTTCTGCTGGTGCCTCAGGGAAGATACTGGCTCTTTCCTTGAAATCATAAGCCATCTTGCTGCCACTTGGAAACTATCTAGGAATTAAGCCAGGCAAAGCCAAGAGGATGAGAAAATAAAAAGAGATAGAGCCCTATTAACATTATTTGAATACCTGGATGCAACCATGCCTGTAGTCCATGAACTTAAATTCCCTTTTCTCCTTAGGTAGTGGAGTTGGAGTTCTATATGAGAAAGTATGGCTTGTGACTGCATGGGGGGAAGTGGGGAACAACTGTGCCAGAAACCTGGATCCATGTCCCAGCTCCTTCCACATCCCCACCACCAGCTGGGCCTACCCATCCCGTCCTTTCTCACTAGCCACTTGCCCCCAGGGCTGGTGTCCACCGAGGTCCTGGAGTAGCCTCTTCACACTGACCACTGTCTTCTTCTTAGAGCGGCTCTGTGTGGAAAGGCCTTGTCAAGCTTGCATACCCTAGGGCTCAGCCCGACATGAAGTGGGGAGTCCCCTCTCCTGGCCAGCCAGGGGTTACTCACTTGTGCTCCCTCCAGTTTGAAATTCTCCAGCATCAGCTTCCCCAGGGGTGCAAAGGCTATGTCCCCATGGTCCCACAGGAACCGGCTGAGCTGTGGGAAGACAGGAGGCCAGGGCACTAAGCAGAGCTGCAGGCCACACAGCACTGTCCCCCGTGGGGCCACCCACCTGTTCAGTAACATCCAGCACAACTCGGGGCTGTCTGCGGAACGGGTGACCTCCCCGGAAAAGCAGGTCCTGGGCAGTCAGACCCGGGTGCCAGGGATCTGAGGGAACAGTGAGGTTAGAGAAGAGGTCTGTCCTGGGGCAGGGAAGGGCCTGGAAGTGGGGCCAGGTGTCCCAGTAGGGGTGCAGGGTGGGGGGAGAAGCAACACATGGAGTGGCCTGGGAGGGAGCCCCGAGGACCAAGACCCTTACCGGGACCAGGAGGCAGTAAGGGAAGGGGCCCAGGGGTCTCCGGCTCCCAGAGCAGGCCTTTGGCCATGTGCGGCGCCCCATTCTGAGGAAACACAACCACAACGACAACACAACAGTGAGTGTGCTCCTGGGCCGGGTGGTGTCACCAGCACTTGTCTCATTAATTCACTCAATCCTCGCAAGAAGCCTGCCAAGTTAGTACGATGGTCGCATCACTTTATCAGTGAAGAAATGGAGACACATGCAGGCTGTCACTTGCTCCAGGTGACAGAGCCAGTAAACAGAAGGGCTGTGACTGGAACCCAGGCAGCCTGACTCCAGTCTGCACTCTGACCTCCAGGCTGCACCGGCGCTCAAAGGAGCCCCCTGTGCCATTACCAGGCTGATCCAGAGCCCACTGGCTCTCACTTCCACTCAGGAGACCTCGTGGTCACTTGCCCCGGGAGCCCACAGGCCAGTCCACTCCCCACTGCTGGGCTGGCCTCGACAGCTCAGCTCAGACACTCAGGGGCTGGAAGAGATGGCAAGCTGGGCTCCCAGAGGGGCTGACACGACGTGAAGCCCTTCCTCGTTGAGGAAGCCCCCTGCTTCACTCCCTTCCCCTCTGCTGTCTCTTTTAATTTTTCACCCCCTTGCCCCTGCCTAGGGTGATCCTTGGCCAGCCTGTGTCCAAGTGGCAGCCGGATGGCTTGGGCTCCCAGGGAAAGAGCTGGTGTCCCTCCTGTCCCAGGAGGTCTCCCCCCCACTCCCTGCCTCATCCCCGCTGTGCTGTCTCAGCATCCTTCTGGTTTTGTTCAAAGCTATTACCACACTTTGCAATGATTTCATCCTTTGGTCTGTTCACCTGTCTGTTCTCACTCAACTTAACTCTCAGTTCCACGGGGGCAGGGGTCACATCTGACTTATTCACGGTGGGTGCCCCCGGCCTAGGAAGGTGCCTGACACAGCACAGGGCTGTGCAATGAGTATTCACTGAACAAACAGAGGAATGAAAGGCCGGGGGAGGGGGAGGTAGGAAAGAGCAAGCCAACAGCTCCCGCTCACTAAACCCTCTGCGGATGGTAGGGCGCCCCACGTACCCCAAAGAAGGGGATTCTGGCGGAGCCTTAGCAGACTTATGCTAAAGCCACCCCACTCTGTGCTCCTGCTAGAAAAGGGGACCAAGTGAAGGTGTCCACCCTGGAGCCGCCAGGGCTCTCCCCACCATCCTCACCTCAGAGTTCTGGGGCAGGGACTCTGGCAGGGTCAGTGCGTCTCTCCAGCTGCACATGAAGGACATGTCAGGGACATTGCTCAGACCAAGGGGGCCGGTCCTAAACAACGTGGGGCGGAGGGAGCCGGGGAAGTCCATCCTAGAAAACAAGAGCCACGCGTCACACTGGTCTTCTCAGAGACCTGCATCTGACAGTGGCTTCGAGGGTTCCTGGGAGAGTGAAAAGTGTCGTAAGAGGGGTATACTTTCTCTTTGGGGAAGCAGATAATAAAGAACAAATGAATATACAACCTAATGCCAGATAGTAATAAGTGCTATATTAAAACCAATCAACCAACCAGGAGGGAGGGAATGGCAATGCGCTGAGGGTGTGGTTTTAGCAATGGTAGCCAGGGAAGGCCTCATCAAGAGGGGCAGTTTGGCACAGCCTGAACCTAATGAGGAACAGAACCACGAAGACCATGGAAATAGGGTTCCTGGCAGAATGAACAACAAGTGCAAAAGTCCTGGGGCAGGAAGTGCTTGAGAAAGCACCAGGAGGCCACAGAATGAACAGGAGCAGAGGGGTAGGGGATGAAGTTAGACAGGTGGCGAGGGGTCAGCTTCCAATAAGCTCTACATATTATAATTACACATTTGAAGACTACAGGCCCTACGTCCCAGGCTACACTCCCAAGACTAACTCTAGTTCCCCCAAAGCCAGGGACTGAGTCTTACTTGTCTGTCTTCCCACTGTCAAGTACATACCTTCCAAAAATGCACTGACTGTACTGAATAAAACTAAATTTAGCCCACAGGGCTCTGGTAAATACAAAGTGCTCTAGAAGCACAAGCAGCCATGGCATCCCTCTTTTTTATTAACCACAAAAATGACAGTGGTGCTCACTTACTGAGCACCAGCATCCGCAGCCATGGTACCACATGCTTTATTCTCCTTTGGAGTCCAGGAGACTGAGGCTCAGGAGAGAGCAGCCCGCCCAAGGCCAACGGCTGGATTCTGATTCCAAGTCTGAGCTCTGGACCACCGCTCTCCCGTGCATCCAAAAGCAAACCTGAGCTTTAGAGCCTTAGTAAGCAGAAACGCTTTCCTCTGGCGCTCCTGCTGCATCCTCTCAGCTTATCCTGCAACCTCCACACATCCGTGTACCCTCACCATCACGCCAAGTGCCCCCTCACGCAGTCCATACTTGTCAAATGGTGAATACGTGTTTCTCACGGCATGTCAGCCTCATTCTAACTGTGGTTTACACGCACGGTCTTATCTCCTCCACTGCACTGAGAGCTCTCCGCGGGCACGCACTGTATCTGCGTCACTCCCGAGCTCCTGGTGTCTGGCTGCTGCTGCCATTCCCTTCTCCACGACAGAAGAGGACAGTGGCAGGAACCAAGGTGGTGGTCAATGAATCCTTGTGAAAACGCCTGCTTCCACGGGACTGGCTGTACCGACTGCAGTTAAGGGGCACCCCAGCCTCCCAAGGTGGCCGCACCCCTGATAAGTCAGCAGACGCACGCAGACACGCGCGCGCGCGCACACACACGTGCGTCTCCAGCTCGTCTGTTGTGCCTGGGCTCCAATCACACTGACCTCCTTTGGATTCCTCCTCCTCATACTTCTTTTCACCACAGGGCCTTTGCACACTCTCTCTCCACCTACAACAAATGCGAGCGCCCTTCCTACCACCTCAAAATCCTACTCATCCTTCAGATTTCAAGTCAGGGAAGCCTCTCCCCGTTCCCCCAACCCTATCCTCCCACCACAGCCTGCATGCTTCCTCCAGAGCACGCACTGCAATGTGTCATTACATATTTAAAGATGCAGCTGTTTAATCCAAAACCGCTCTAACAGTCCCCACGGGAAAGAGACTTTCTACACCCCCAGGACCTTGGTATTCGCTACATGGTAACAATCAGTACATATAAACTGAAAAAGCAAATCCAGGAATGAATGAAGGAGAGAAGAAAGGAACCAAACAGCCTCAAACAAACCCAGGCAGGCTGAGGGCGCTGGGCGAGCCCACGACCTCAGAAACGCCCTTAGACAAGGCAGCCTCCGTTTCCCGCCTTCGCCCTCGGCTCGCCAGGCCCCTTTACACCTCCAAGGCTGCAGAAGTCAGTCGGGTCTGCACTAATGCCAGGCTGGGCATGACAAAAAGCGAGCCTGTCGCAAGGGTTGGGAGAGGGGATCCGGGTGTTCCCTCCCCTCACACAACTACTCGGCCGCGTCCTCCCCATCCACCTCCTCCCACTCCAACCCCAGCCCCCAGAATTTCAACCCGGCAACAGCAGAGGCCTCGCATCAAGCTTTGTGTGCCAGCCAGCGGCTACCACGCTTCACATCTGTGGGCTCCTCATCACTCCATGAGCTGGGGGCTGCTAATAACCCGCTTTGCAGATGTTGGGCGACTTCTCCCAAAGCCACGCAGCTCGGGGCCCATGGACCTGCGCAGGGGGACCCTCCACTCCCTCCCGTCCGACGGCGCGCGCACTTACGTGGCCCGGGCCTCGCCGTGCTCGTCTGGGAAATGGACCTCCGCGCGCCGCTCGCCGGACCCCCGTGCCGCGAAGCAGCCCGAGAGCGGCCCCCTAGCCCCGGCGCCCTCAGAAGGGGGGCCCTACAGCAGCGATGAACAGTCTTCCCAGCCGGGCCGGAAGTGCTCCCTCGAAGACAGGAAGTCCCGCCTCCCAGCCTGGCCCCATGGTCGCCCTAGAGCGCCACCTCCCGGGCGGAGGGGGAATGGGAATGGAGGCTGCGTCGTGGGCAGTAGAAATCAAGCCTCGTCAAGTCCCAAAAGTGAAGGATAGGTTGACCGGGATTCGAATCCCACCACTGCTTAACTAAGTTCCTATTTCACAGGATTGCTGTGAGTATTAAATTAATTCACTCAACAAACACTTACTGAGCACGTATGATGAGCCAGGTACTGTATGAGTCAGTAGGAATCCTATTGATTGTCATTATAGCCTATGAAGCGGGCTTTACAAATAGATGTACAGGTATCCCTGGGAGCGCATGAAGTTTTCCCAGTGGCCAGGTGAGTATAGCTTTAGGCATTGGTTCTGAAATTCCAGTGGGCATCAGCATCACCTGGAGGGCGTGTAAAAACAGAGTTTCTGGAGCCCGCGCTGTGGCTTAGCGGTTGGGTGCGCACACTCTGCTACTGGTGGCCCGGATTCGGATCCTGGGCGCGCACCTACGCACCATTTGTCCGGCCACGCTGAGGCCACATCCCACATACAGCAACTAGAAGGATGTGCAACTATGACATACAACTATCTGCTGGGGCTTTGGGGGAAAAAAAAGGAGGAGGATTGGCAATAGATGTTAGCTCAGAGCTGGTCTTCCTCAGCAAAAAGAGGAGGATTGGCATGGATGTTAACTCAGGGCTGATCTTCCTCAAAAAAAAGAAAACACAGAGTTTCCGATTCAGTGAGTCTGAGGTGGGGCCTGATAATTTGCCTTCCTAAGTTACCAGGTGATGCTGATTCTGCTTGTCTGGGGGGGTCACACTTTAAGAACAACTGTGCAATCATAACTCGTACCGTTATCCTAACCCAGCAGTTCTAGACTTCAGCGTGCATCAGAATCCCCTAGAGGGCTTGTTAAAACAGTTCACTGGGCCCCACCTCCAGAGCTGCTGATTCAGTAGATCTGGGATGTGATCCAAGAATCTACATTTCTAATGAGTCCCCAGGTGATGCTGATGCTGGGGGTCCAGAGACCACACTTTGAGAACCATTACTTTAAAGAATCAATTTCCAAGTTCTCAGCTTCTATGTATATGGTTTTTATCTGGGAGGTGCTCAGAATCAGATGGTTCTCCTTTCGCATCTCCTCTTTCACAATCGCTTTTTTCCCCTCTATGGAGTATTGCCTGAGAAGGATGCTGAACAAGGGGGCGATTCCAAAAAGCAGAGTTCCTATAGGAGAGAGTCCCTATAAGACCAAGAAAAACAGGCTCAGTAAGGAGTAATGATAGAAGGGTGCGGGGGCGGGGCTTTTGGGGGCTGACAATATTATGTTTCTTCATCTGAGTGCTGGTTACATGAGTGTGTTCAGTGTGTGAAAATTCATTGAATGATCTGTATGCTTTTTGGTATGGATGTAATATTTCAGTAGTCTTTTTAAAATAGAAAAGAAAAAAAGAGGAAAATACTGCTGGCTGTGACACTTGATCTCATTGAGACTTCAGCCTCTTGGTTAGACTCCATGCCTTCTCAGCTATCTACCTCAGAAATAGAATTCAGAAGTCACTCTATGAAGGCAGGAATTCTTCTCTCTGTGTAGGTCACTAATGTATCCCAAACAACTAGAAAAGTAGATACTCGATAAATATCGAATCAATGGAAGAGGGAACAAAATGACATGGTTCCTCTGAGAAAATATCAACACATTTATTTAAATTGAAAAAATGAAGTCAGACTGTTTCTGATAGGAAAATTCTGGTTTAGCTGATAGGTTTGACTACGATGGTAGGCTTTGCCAATTAGGGCACATGGAGAGTGTTTTTCTTTTCTTGTTTTTTTTTTTTTTTTAAGAAAGATCAGCCCTGAGCTAACATCCATGCCAATCCTCTTCTTCTTCTTTTTTTTTTTTTTGCTGAGGAAGACTGGCCCTGGGCTAACATCCATGCCCATCCTCCTCCACGTTATATGGGATGCCGCCACAGCATGGCCTGACAAGTGGTGCATCAGTGCGAGCCCGGGATCCGAACCCGGGACTCCAGCAGCGGAGTGCACGCACGTAACCGCTATGCCACAGGGCCAGCCCCTGGAGAGCATTTTTCATAAATGGAATAAGCTAAGTCCGCCTCTCCATGGTTTTGGTGAAAATATATTGAAAGTATGATTATACTATATAATAAATCAGAAATTACATCTTTTGTAACTATTTAAGCTCGTGACTAAAAAATTAGTGATATATAATTTTTCAAAATTATTTTAGAAGTATGTATGCAAAAGAAATTGAAGACCATTTATATTAGTTTCCTATTGCTGCTATAACAAATTACCACAAACTTAGTGGCTTAAAAGAACACAATATCATACAGTTCTGGAGGTCAGAAGTCTTAAATGGGTCTCACTGGGCTAAAATCAAGGCGTCACTAGGGCTGTGTTCCGTTCTGGAGGCACTAGGGGAAAATCCATTTCTTTGCCTTTTCCAGCTTCTAAAAGCTGCCTGCCTTCCTCGGCTTGTGGCCCCCTTCCATCTTCAAAGCCAGCAATGGCCAGCTGAGTCTTTCTCATGCTGTCATCTCTCGGATTCTGATCTTCAGTCTCCCTCTAGCCCATTTAAGGACCCTTGTGATTACACTGGGCCCACCCAGGTGATCCAGGATAATCTCCCTGTCTTAAACTCAGCTGATTAGAAAACTTAACTCCATCTGCAACCATAATTCCCCCTTGCCACATGATGTAACATATTCATAGGCTGTGGGGATCAGGACATGGACATCTTTGGGGGACCATTATTTTTCCCACCACACCACTATTCCCCATCACCCCCAGGAGACACCCATCCAGCTTCTGGGCTGGGAGGCCAATTTCATTTCTTCCTTCCTTTCTCTAAACAAGCTGTCTGGTTTCCTTTCGTTACTGATGTATACTTAACATGCAATAAAATGCAGAAGTCTTAAGTGTACACCTTATCAAGTTTTTACATACATATAAACCCACATAACCACCACCTAGATCAAGGCAGAGAACATTTTCATCACTCCAGAAAATTTCCTGGTGCCGCTTCCCAGTCAATACCCCCTTCAGGAAGCAACCATGATTCTGACTCATCACCAGAGATTAATTTTGCCGGTTCAAGACTTTATATAAATAGAATCAGGCAGAAAATAGTCTTTTTAGTCTGGCTTCTTTCACTCAATATGCCTATGAGATTCACTCATTTTGTGCATGTAACAGTGTTTTGTTTCTTTTTATTACTAATAGTCTCCTGTGTGAATATATCACCTCTTGTTCATGCAAGTTCCTGTTGGTGAAGTTTCTGGGTTTGTGGACTCTGTTAAAGTCTCTTTACGGATGTGTGCAGCCATCATTCCATTTCTGAACACCAACTGTGCTGTCCCTTCCATCTACTAGGCCTAATTTTGCTCTCTGGCTGGGCTACACATGAAAAGAACAGGCTTGTTCTTTCTGATGCCAATTCTGAAACATTCGGGAGATTGAATCTACTCTGTCCCCCACACCTGCTCTTCCCAAATCAAATGTCCCCAGTTCCACCAACCCCTCCTCAAACACTCCAGTATCCACACTGCCACAATCCTGGTCAGCATTGTCAGACCCAAAGGTAGCAGTCAGCAGCAGCAGCAGCAACAAAGGTGACGAGTCTTACAGACTGTGAACTGAGTATCGGTCATGTGTTCCCGGGGAACTGGCTCCTACAAGACACAGTTACATCTTCTGCCCCCTTCCAGCAATTGTGTTGCATCATAGCAGGCCATATGTAAACTGTCTTCATCCGTAACTTCATCTTATTTTTGTTATTTCTCCTTCATCCCTAGTCCCTCATCTTAAAGAATAGCTGTCTTGTGGTAGTTACTCAAAATCCCTCCTGACAGGAAAAAAAGGGGGCAGAGTGCCAAATGGCTAACTTGGCTCGAGAGCACTTCCGGTTGGCTTCAGGAAGGCTACAGTGAACGGTTTTCAAATGTAGAGCCTGGAGATTCTGTGTGGCCGCTACATTTGAGAACACTCTCATTCACCTCATGAGGACCCCCAGGCTCAAGCGGCTAGGGGTGGGCTGGCGTGATGGGGTGCGGTTTGGGGTGGCCTAGAACAGGAGCAAGGGTGAGGTGCTGGACCCGGGCCCCCAAACCTCCTTCCCTGGCCTTCCGTTCGCCAGGGCAGAGAAGAGGCTGACAGGAGCGACCTGGTCCTTCGCCCAACCCCCCGACCCGGCAGTGGGATGTTGGCCAGGCGGCCATACCGTCTACATCCGGGCTGCAGCCGTTCGGCAGACTGTCCTTCCCATTGGCTGGGCGCACTGTCCGCCACAGCTCTGTGGGCTCTCATTGGTCAGCAGTGAGGTGGGGCGGAGCTCGCCTGGTGCTGTCGGCCGCGCCGCGTGCTGCTCACGCGGACCCAGCAGGGCGTATAAAAGAGCTCGGGCGGCGTGAGACCCTGCCTCTTGTCCCTTGGGGTCCTCGCGTCTTGTCATGGCTTCAGCGGCGAGTGCGGCCCCGGGCTCGGACGACAGCGGCCGCAGGAAGCCCCGCCTGGCGGCGTCTTTACAGATCAGCCCCGGGCCCAGCCCCAGGCGGCCCCCAACCAGCCTGGGCCCAGACCCCTGGGAGCCCTCACTTGCCCCCAGCGCGGAGGACGATAAGGGCGATGGGCAGCCCCAGGCCTCGGCGGGGGACGGTGGGCTCTGGGTGGGGGCCAGAGTCGGGAAAGGGGGGCAGCCCGGGCTCGGGAAGGCTTGGGGGGCCGGATAGGAAGGTCCCCGAGGGTCTCTGTCCTGCCCGCAGGGCCTGCGAGGGACTTCGCAGCGGCAGCCGGACAGCTGAGCCTGCAGCTCAAAGACCCTCCGCCGGCCCAGGCCATGGCCGTGCTCGGGCAGTATGCGGCCAGTCTGGGCGTCTCCCTGACCTTCAGAGAGGACCGGACGGCAGGTGAGGTCCGGGGGCCTGGGATGGTGGTGCGCACGGGCTGACCCCAGATGAAGCAGGGGCCCTGTGAGCTGGGCCTGAGCCCTGGGCCCGAGGCGCACCTCCCTGTGAGCAGGTGGTGCTGGGAGCATCGCTACACCGGACGTCCAACGGGCAGGTCATGGCAGGGTGAACATTATCCCCATCTGATGCCCCCAGCGACCCAGCCTTTCAGCTCACCATTTTTGAGGACCAATTACATGCAATTACAGTTGCCATGCCAGCATGGGAGATACCTGGGGGCCAGCCCCTGACTTAAAGACATTATCAAAGGCAGTTTGCTAAGGGCAACACTGCATAGAGATGTAATCATGTCCTTTCCTCGTCCTCAGTGCCCCCACCCCAGATTCAGACACAGACACACAGAACAATACCCCAGGTCCTAAATTCAGGTTCCCAACCTTAAGCCAGCACATTCCCAGTTTCTAAGGAGATGGCAAGAGAATCATTTCTCAAGCTATTGGGAGCGTTTGTAAAACTACCTAAGAGAACCCCAAATGAACAGCTCAAAAAGAGGTAATGTATTAAAAATGTAACTGGGATTTGTGTTAATCAGGTGTGGTAAGACAGCAGACATGGAAATAATTGTCATGGAGGAAGAAGTAAATATTCCCAGATCCCTGGAAACAGGAGGCACAGCTCGCCACACAGGGCCACACGGGAAAGGGCCAGGGTGAGAGAAGGGGCTGGGGAGAGCCCAGCCCAGGGCCTTTATTGGCGTCTTTTCTGGAAGGAATGGCTGAGGCAGGGTGGGTACGCTGAGTAAGCTTAGGGTTGAGTAAGGCAAGGGACTGAGTAAGTTAGAGGTTGTAGAGGTGGTCCCTAGTTGTCCAGTACCTGGCCCTGGGGTGGTTTAGGGTATGGGGAATATTGGCTTGTGTGAGAGTTTGGTGTTTGGGGAGTGAGTTCTGGCTTGGTCGGTTTCTATAGCAAAGGCATGCCCGCAGGGGAGTTGTCTGCTCTCTCTAGGAATTAGCCCTGGGAGGGGTAATCTCTCCAGGGTCAAGGCCCCAAATGCCAGAGCATCAAGAATACAGAAAATAAGAAGACAGAGTCAATACAGATAATTATAGCTAACATTCGTGAGTTCTGGATATGGGCCAGGCACTGACGGGCTTCAGACACATTAACACACTGAGTCCTCACAGCTGTTCCTTAAGGACGTATCCTGCTGTCACGCCATGTTACAGACAGGAAGACTGAGGCCAGAGAGGGTGTAGCTGTGGGGCACAGTGTGAACCCAGGCAGTCTGGCTTCAGAGCCTGAGCTGAACCACTGGATTATAGTGCCCTCCCTTCTGCTTACGGTTCCCTTTATATTTACATGGGTAGACATGGTTTTTAGTCATTTTATTTTTTATTTTGATAAAATTTCAAAGACTAGTGTAAAAGAACTCCCCTGAACTCTCCACTCAGATTCTCCAGGTAACATTTGCCACATTTGCTTTGTGTATGTGTCTCTCTCCTCTGTATATTTGTTTATATAAAAAATCCACGTTAATTTTCCCTGAACATCTGCAAGTTAAATTACCCCTTAAGCACTTCAGTGTGTATTTCCTAAGAATGAGGACCTTGTCTTATAAAACTATAGTATAATGATCAAATTCTGGAAATTTAACATTGATGTATATTATCATCTAATTACCATTCACATTCAGATTTTGCCACTTGTCCCAATGATGGCCATTTTTTTCCAGCCTAGCATGACTGAGTATATTTAGCTGCCATGCCTCTTTAATCTCCTTTTATCTGAAACAGTTCCCCGTCTGTCCTTGTCTTTAGGACACTGAGGCTTTGAAGAGTAAGGGCTGGTGGTTTTGTAGACCATCCTTCACTTGGGTTTGTCTGTTTCCTTGGGATGGGGTTCAGGTGATGCATTGGGCAGGAGCACACGTGGTAACCCGTGTCCTTGGCCGTACATCCCGCCAGGAGGACTGGGATCTGTCTGTCCTATCGCTGGGAGGCCTGACGAGGGTGGTGTCCACCAGGTGTCTTCACTTCCCCTCTGTGCTTAATAAGTCACCCGAGGTGGGGCATCTGGGGATGGTGTGACAATCCTGTTCTCCATAACACTGTCACCTTGTGGTTTTAGCATCCTTTGATGATTGTCGCCAGATTTGATTATTACTGTGCCAGCTGCTGCGTGGGGTTTGCTATGTCAGCGTTCCTTCCCCATCTACTATCTGACATTCTTGATGCTCTTTTAAAATAGAGGAATCTTGGTGCTGGCGAGGCATGCTGGAACGCGGTTCTCTTTGAAAAGGGCAGTCCTTTGGGAAACAGTTTAGCAGCAAGTACCGTGAACTGAAATAAGCTGATGCGCTTTGACCAAGTGATCCCAGTTCTAGGATTTTCATCTGCCTCTTTTGTGTCATAAGTAACATCTGAAATGACAGTGTTTGGTGGACGAAGCTTTCAAACGTAGACCAGAAATAGGGCAGTGTGTCTGGGGGAAGGCAGGAAGCTTCATCCTCAGAAGACCGCGGCCCTGGTTGGGTCCTGGCACCACCTGGGCATGCTGCCTGCCCTTTGTGTGCCCCCTCTGTAAAATGGGGTCATGTGCACCTATTTCAGAGGGGCTGTGAGGATTCTCTGAGTGACGACGGGTGGGCATGCCAAGGCACGCACCAGCGCTTGGTGCAGGGGTTGGCAGTCCCGCCTCCTTGTCATTCTGGTTGTCCTCAGTGGCAGGTGTCAGGAGGAAGTGTGGCTGAGAGCTGCTGTGGCTCAGGTGGGGCAGGTGTAGTGGTCCTCCTAGAAAGGGCCCATGACGGGGGAGGTGCAGGGCACTGCTTCACGACCCCCTCCTTCTCCAGACGGCTGCTTCCCCTTCTCGGTGTGCGCCGAACTGGACGGGGTGGTCTACCCCGCGGGCACCGCCAACAGCAAACTGGAGGCCAGACAGCAGGCGGCTCTCTCTGCCCTCCGCTACATCCAGAGTCAGCTGGAGAGCCCGGGTAAGGGGGCAGCCACCCGGTGACCGAGCCCCAGCTGGGGTGCTGACACGGTATGCCTGTGAGCATGTGGGCAGGTCGGGGAGAGGTGCTGGAGAGACCATCTGGGCACCAGGACCCGGCCTGCAGGGAGCTGGGGAGGAGGACGGGAGCCTACCCCTGCCCTAATGTCCTTTTAAGCCTGTGCACCCGGGGGAGGGTCTGCTAGAGGAGCAGCCCAGGAACTTTTGGTTTCTGGAAGATGATAACTTTCCTCCTGCCAGTGGAACTTCTTGGCTTCCCAAAGGACAAAGGGCAGGAGGGCAGACCCTGGCATCCATAGCTACTGCCCCCTTGTCTCTCTTCCAGAGCCCCCAGAGCCCCCCAGCAGGCCTTCACTTGCCTCCCTGAGCGTAGGTAGGTGGGCTCCTGTTGACTTGACCCCTGTGGGGAAGGAGGGGCACAGCCTGTGGGGCCCCCAGCTCTGCCCTCTCCCCCATGTACAGAGGACATCCTGACGCACGAGCAGCGCTGTGCAGCTGTGGTCAGCGCCGGCTTTGACCGCCTGGTGGACAGGGCCTCGCCACACCATGCCTGTAAGGGGACTGTGGCTGCAGTCATCCTGGAGAGAGGTAGGGGTGGCCCTGCCCCCCCCAAGAAGGCCCTTGTGGGCCCTTTGCCTTGGGCCATTGTGTCTCTGCCCCCTTCCCTTGTAGAGGTCCCCGGTGCCAGGGGCCACAGCAAGGAGATCTACGAGCTGGTGGCACTGGGCACAGGCAGCAGCAGCTGCGCCGGCTGGCTGGAGTACTCGGGCCGGCAGCTCCACGACTGCCACGGTGTGGTCATCGCCCGCCGGGCCCTGCTGAGGTGAGGGGCGGACGGGCGCTCCGCCACAGCCCGGGCAGGATGCGGCAGCCCCCAACGGCTCCTCTACGTGGCTCTCCCAGGTTCTTGTTCCGGCAGCTCCTGCTGGCGACACAGGGCGGCCCCAAGGGCAAGGAGCGGTCCGTGCTGGCCCCTCAGCCTGGGCCTGGGCCCCCCTTCGCCCTCAAGCCCCGGATCTTCCTGCACCTCTACGTCAGCAACACCCCGAAGGGAGCTGCCCACGACATCTAGTATGCGGGGAGCCCGGATGGGGAAGGGCAGTGTAGGGTGAGTCGGAGGAGCAGCCCTGACTCTAGTGTCCTCTGTCCCCGCTGCCTCTGCCTGTCTCTGCAGCCTCCCGCCGCCCTCCAAGGGCAGTCTCCTGCACAGCCCCCCTTTCCGCCTGCAGGCCCACGTCCGCGGGGAGCTGAAGCCCGTGTGCTACGTGGCACCTGCACTCCGTGACACCCATGTGAGCTGCCTCTCGGCCAGCGACAAGCTGGCACGCTGGGCCGTGCTGGGGCTGGGCGGCGCCCTGCTGGCCCACTTCCTGCCTCCCGTCTACGCCACCAGCCTTGTCCTGGGTGAGGGTTCTGCGGGGCTTGAGGGTGGAAGGCGGGCTCTGGGTGGTGTATGGGAGAGGGTGGCAGGGACCCCGACCTTGTCCTGTGCCTTCTGCCCCCACAGCCGACCCTTGCCACGACCCCCCAACTCTGAGCAGCGCCATCCATGCCCGGCCCAGCCTAGACAGCATCTTGGGGCCAGGCCTGCCACCTCCCTACGCCCGCACCACGCTGCACCTGTTTTCAGGCCCCCCTGTGGCCCCCTCCGACCCCACCCCCAGCACCTGCCATGGCCTGAGCCTCAACTGGAGCCTGGGGGACCCTGACGTCGAAGTTGTGGATGTGGCCACTGGGCGTGTGAAGGACGAGTGAGAAGGGCCTGCGGGCGGGCTGGAGAGGGGCCTGGGGTGAGGAGTCCCCGCCTTCCTGCCCATGGGGTTAGAGGATGCATCCAGGCACCAGCTGGGGTTCTAATCCCGGCTCAGCCTCTTAGCAGCTCTGTGACCATGGCCGGCGCTCCTGTCACCCACCCCGTGACCCCCCCCGCCACACCTAAGATTGTCACGGCATGAAAGGAGATGGTGTGAGGGGCATGGTGCCAGCCTGTGAGTTCCGTTCCTCCTTTACCTCCTCTGATCTTCGAGTCCTTTCTCTCCATCTCCAGTGCTGCCTTCGGGCCTCCCTCCCGCCTCTGCAAGGCAGCCTTTCTCCAGGCCTTCCGCCAGGCTGCCAGAGCTCTAGGGAAGTCCCACCTCCTGGCCTTAAAGACCTATGAGGCAGCCAAGGTCAGCTCCTTCCCTCCCCACCAGCCCTCTTTCTCCTGTGCCCCCCAGCAAGCACCCTCTCCACCCCTCTCTTCTCCTGCCCTAGGCTGGGCCCTACCAGGAGGCTCGCCAGCAGTTGTCTCTCCTCCTGGACCAGCAGGGCCTGGGGGCATGGCCCTCCAAGCCGTTGGTGGGCAAATTCAGAAACTGAAACAGACCTCCAGGGGGCCGAGGTCCCTGAGTGGAGCTGGACCCCGCTGGAGGAGCACGCTTCTAGGGAGGGAGGATGGGGATGGGAGTGGAGGGGGAGGGGGAGGGGCTGCTGCACATTTGACCTTGAATAAAGAAGCTGTTTTTGGTGCTTCTGTGTGTGGTTGGCTTTGGGGGGAGGAGTGGGTACTGGATCCCCTCCTCACAGAGTTACTGTATCGTCACACCAGCCCTGGCTTCTTGTCTTCCAGCCCATGTGCTCTGGGGGAGGCTGTGTTGTGTCGTGGGGCCGGGCTGTTGGTAATGAGTGTGGGAGCACTGCCTCTTTGGGTGTGATGGAGGCTCTGGTGCTCCTCCCTTTCCCAGGGCCTGGACCTGGGAGGTGTGGTAGAGGAGGGGGGCACTTGCTCTCGGGTCCCACGTGGACTGGTCAGAGGCTTCAGCCATGCTGGCCGTTGAGCAAAGTCCATGGGTCTGAGCAGCCCTGTGTTGAAGGGTGCAGGGCATCAGTAGTCCCCAATCGGGAGGGGAAGCAGGGTCCTGGGGAGACAGCAGCCCCAGTCCCCCCCTTAAGGTCCTCTAGGGTTTCTACGAGTGGGTCGGGCCTGGAGCCCCTTCCACTGGGCTTGTAGGTGTACTGGGGTGAATAGTGTCCCCTAAAATTCACATGCACCTGGAACCTATGAAAGTGACCTTACTTAGAAATATAGGGTCTTTGCAGATGTGATCAAGTTAAGATGAGGTCATATTGGATTAGGGTGAGGCCTTAAATCCAGTGACTAGGGTCCTTATAAGAAGAGACACACAGGTAGACAGAGGGGAGGAGGCCACGTGATGATGGAGGCAGAGGGGGGTGATGCTGCCAAGGAGCACCAAGGATGGCCAGCAGCCTCCAGAAGCTGGGAGAGAGGCAGGGAGTGGTTTTCTCCCTCAAGTCCCCAGAAGTAACCAGCCCTGCCAGCACTGCAGGCCTCCAGAGCCATGAGAGAATAAATGTCTGTCGTTTTAAGGCAGCCAGTTCGTAGCACTTGGTTATGGTAGCCCTGGGAAGCTAACAGAGGCTCCTATAGAGCTGGGGCCCAGCCTGTCTCTGTGCTGCCCTGGCTGTTCCACTGGGTAAGCCCCGTGACTGCCCGAGCCTGCGTGCCCGCTTTGGGGAGGGCCAGGGCCTGCCTCCCAGGGCCAGGGATGTGGTTCTCCTTCCATTTCCCCCAGGGGGCTGCAGGGAGTCTGCGAGGGCTTTCAGACACTCTGAGGACCTTGAGTGGGAACGGAAGACGGTGTACACTACACACGCACACATCTGCAGACCTGGGCCCCTCGCCAGCAGGGGCAGTGTCCACTGGGCTGGCCCACAGGCAGCCTTGAGGTCTGAGGAGCCAGGGCCAGGAGTGGTAAGGCCCACGCCGGCAGCACACCCTCTGGCCTGAGCTCCCCACACTTCTAGCACTCCAGGGTTTGGAACTACTGACTGCTCCCAGGTGGGCCTCGGGAAGCTGGGCATTCAGGGCCAGGCGGTGCTGATGCTGAAGCCTTGGGATGGAGTCCCCTCCCTCCCAGACACCTCTCTACCCTGGGGCCTGTGTGGCCTTGGCCAGCCACTTAACCTCAGTGCACTTTGGTTGACTCATCTAGAGAAATAATCAGAAGGCCGGCCCAGGTGATCTGTCCTCGCCCAGCTCGCCCACCTGCAGGCCTGGGCTTTCCGTCTGCTTGGCCCCTGGGCCGGTGCTCTCTCCTTGTCCACCAATGCCACTGCTAATTAGGAGGACTCGGAGAGAGGCGGTGGAAGAGGAAACAGCCGAGAGGGTTGAGGGTCCAGTAGGCCCTGCACCGAGGCATTACATAGACCGTTGTGTTTAAGCCTCCCACCAACTCTGCACAGTAGATGCCGTCATCGCCCCGTTTTACAGGTGAGGAAACTCACGAGGTGAAGTTGGTAACTTCTAGAAGGGCACGTGCGCTTGCAGTGGAGCTGCAGTTCGCGGGCAGCCATCTGTCTTCTGAGCCCTTCAGTCCCAGGCACGGCCTCAGCTGCTGCTGCATCTGCTTGTGTGGCCTTGGACAAAACTCCCAACTTCTCATAAAATGAGACCTGGACAGTTGGATTCTTCAAGTTCCCTCCCGACTCGGGGAGATGCAGTCTTTGCCACTGAGAGAGAGCTGGGGCAGCCGTGGTTGGGAGAGGGTGAGAGAGACTGGTGAGAGCAGGAGGGGAGGTGCTGAGTGAGAAGTGCGCATGCGCGCAGGCTGGGCAGTGGGTTAGAGGAGGGACGTTTAAGGGGGGGGAGGGTGTCAAAGGCCAGCTAAGCACTGGTTTTTTTGTTTCACTGAGAGAACAGCTAGGTTATTTGCCCTTAGGTATCATTTTAGAAAAAACTTCTCAGGCCAACTTTGAAATAACTTTTCCTCGTGGTTATTTTTTTCAGGGATGGGGAGGATTTTTAAAACACCCAAGCGTATTAATTAGCCCATTTATCACACATTGTCTTCCCCCGGAGATAATTTAAATTGATTTACTTTTTGTACTGCAGTGGTGACTACAACCAGATGCAGAAATACACCAGCCATTGCACACTGCAGCTTTATGCAATGAGCCTTTTGATATTCATTAATCACGTAATCACTGGGTAAACAAGTTACTCAAAATGACATTAACTCTGCTGTGTTCTGCCAAGTAAGATTTGTCCCCGCGTTGCATAAATCTGCCTGTCCAATCCTTTCCTCCCCAGACAGTCCTCATTACACAACATTCCCTCAGTTCCTTTGACTCAGCTTATTTATTATTGCAGGCAGATGAAGAATGCCGCTTTTGAAATGGGAGTCTGTTAATGTCTTCTTGGCCTGATCCCCTCTAGATGGAGTTTTGCCAACAATAGCATCTTTAGATTGGGAGGTGATGTCACGTAGCTGGCAGGACTCCAACGCTGCTTCTTCCAGGACGCCTTCCCCATCACTCCCCTCCTCCCTCCCCTGCAGCCCCAGCTCTGGGGATCTTTCCTGGACCCTGGGCACCCCCCCCACCTGCTGTCCCTCCCTGTGTGTGGTCGTCACCGCTGAGCAGCTGAGCAGAAGTGTGGTCCTGGGAGGCCAAGGGGCCATACCACCTTACCAAGCCTCAGTTTCCCCATCTGGCAAGTGAGAGTTGGTCACAAAGGCGTGGCCTGCAGGGTCCTAGTGAGATGAACCTGGAAGGGGCCGAGCACAGTTCCGGCCTCTTGGCAGTCCTGAGGCAGTGGCTGTGAGCAGGCCCGTCTGCCCCAGCTCCCGGAGGTGAGCCTGTTGTTGGTTTCTCTCCATCCCTTCCTGTGGGTCTCCCACATGAAAGATGTCGACAGACAAGCATTGAACGGGAAATTAATGTTATAGGATCTTCTCTTTACAGGAGTGGGTTAGAGGGAGAGAATCAAAACTCCTTTCTTTTTTTTTTTTTTTGTGAGGAGATCAACCCTGTGCTAACATCTGCCAATCCTCCTCTTTTTTTGCTGAGGAAGACTGGCCCTGGGCTAACATCTGTGCCCATCTTCCTCCACTTTATATAGGACACCGCCACAGCATGGCCTGCCAAGCAGTGCATCGGTGCGTGCCCGGGATCCAAACCGGTGAACCCCGGGCTGCCGCAGAGGAGCACGTGCACTTAACTGCTTGCGCCACCGGGCCAGCCCCATCAAAACTCCTTTCTAAAAGACGGTTTTTGAAGACGTTTTGAGAATTTCCATTTATTGTGAGTCCTTTTTTTTCTACCCTGTAGAAGCATTCAAAAAGACCTTGAGAAAAGTTAGTATGAGTGCAGAGAAAGACGCTCTACTCTGTAAACTGTCACCTGCTCCATGGGTCAGTGGTGAATGACAGTTGAAAACATTGAGTACCTGCTAGAAGCCACGACAAAGAAAGCCGCATACTCTGGCTTTCGTCCGAGTTTATTCCTCCCAGCAGTCCAGAGGTGACGGGTCCTTGGGTGGCTGTCCACCGTCCTCACCTCAGGAGAAGGCGGCCTCCTCTTAAAGGAGATGGCCCAGAGGCTCACCACATCACTTCTGCTCAATGCTCATCGGTCCAAACTTCATCAGACACCACACCTAGCTGCAGAGGTGGCTGGGAAATGGGGACTCTAGCTATAGTTTGTGTGGGTTCCATTAGTAAAAGGACACAGGTGAGAATGGTATTGGTGGTGGTTAGTGGTCTTTCCCACACGGAGCTGGCAAGGACTGACAGGTTCTACCCCTTGAGGAAGGACTGGGCACTGCAGGGAGCATTTCATTGCCGGAGGGGAGCACAAGCAGCCTCCACACAGGCTGCATGTCCAGTGCCACGTTAGGGAGCCCCGCCCTCTGCCCCCACTGGTCCCCGACCTCACCTCTTTCTCCACTCCAGACACAGTGGCCCCCATGCCATCGCTTGAATGACCAAACCAATTCCTGCCTCAGGACCTTTGCACCTCCTGTTCCTTCTTCCTCAAAGCGTTTCCTCCACAGATCCACATACCCACTCCCTTCACTCCTTCAGAATTTGCTCAAATGTCCTGGCTCAGAAAGGCCTTTCTGGTCATTCTTTACAAAATTGCAGCCCCTCACTCTGGCATTCCCACCCTACCCTGCTTTATTCCCTGTCTGCTTTGTACCCTACTAAACCCTCAGTGCCCAAACAGTGTCTGGCACAATGAAGACGTCATGAAGGGATGAAGAATCAATTTGGGAAAAGCATCAGCATGTCCTGCTGTCAGTGCCTCAGCAACCCAGCGGGTCACATCCTTGACACCCCAGCCCCTTTCTGCAGCCTCACTCACACCCAGCGTCCTCCTCTTCCACCCTGGACTCATCCTGCTGGCCTGGCCTAATGCTCTCCCAGGGGGAGCCTGGAGCTGGTTCATTTACTTTCTAAAGATCCCTGGGTCTTCAGCTCAGATGCAGGAATTAAGTACCTGGGAGCATCTGTGTCTGCATCCCAGAAGCTTGATGGGGAGGCAGGAAGGCCCAGCCCCCTTGTGGACGGGAGCCCTGCTGACCACCACCTTGCCCCTGGGGCCGACACGGTGGCAGCACACGGGGGGCACCTGCATAGATGAAGGGA